TTTGGATTCAATAATAACTCCTGGCGTCTGTCCTGCTTTAATGACACATTCTGTGTCTGGTACAGTTATTATGCCACTTACACACATGTCCCTTTAAGCTCTTCTAATAGAGTAGGAGTGTATGTGGATGTGTCGGCCGGCATTCTGTCCTTCTACAGTGTCTCTGACACTCACAAACTCACACACATACACACATTCAACAACACATTCACTGAACCTCTCTATGCTGGATTTGGGCTTATATCTTACGCATTTAACTCCACAGTGTCTCTGTGTCCGTCTGAAAACCCTGTGGGCAACAACACAGATGTCACATGCACACGTGAATGAAACAAATACTCTCACTTTATATACCTTTAACATACAAATGCAGAAATATACTAATTTAAATGTGTAGGCTTTTTTTTGTTTTTTGCACAAAATCTGATTAATAATTTAAATCATTTGTTTCTTGAACAAGGAATCAGTATTATAGTACATATACATTTTTGCTTTCATATTTATGTTAAAGGGGTCATATGATGCAATTTCAAACTTTCCTTTCTCTTTGGAGTGTTACAAGCTGTTCGTGCATAGATAAGATCCCTAAAGTTGCAAAGACTAAAGTCTCAAACCCAAAGAGATATTCTTTATAAAAGTTAAGACTTGTCCACACCCTCCTAAAACGCCTCGTTTAAACACGCCCCCACGTCTACGTCACTGTGTGGGAAGATTTGCATAACACCGCCCAAATGTTACGCCAAAAGAAGGCGTAACTTTTATTCTCGCTGTAGTATTGTTGTTGCCGCCGCCGTCATGTTGTGGAGATGCTGCGTGTTTCGTTGTGAAAACGAAACTACTTTGTTTGGCGTTCCAAAAGAGGACGATATCCGCTTCGTCATGCCTAGAGCTGATCTTGAGGTATTCGGCCAATCACAACGCACTGGATAGCTGGCCAATCACAGCACCCCTCTGCTTTTCAGAACGATGAGCTTTGTAAAAATGTATGCGTTTCAGAAAGGCGGGGCATAGAGGAGAAACAATAATGTACATTATGTGAAAAATAATGTGTTTTTTTTACCTTAAACCGCATAAACACATTGCATTACACCAAATACACAACATAATGTTCTTTTTAGCAACGTCATATGACCCTTTTAAACTTTTATTCTTCACTTGGGCTGTGTGTATATTGTAGTTAACACAATTGTGTTTATTCCAGTGTCTGTGTTGTTAGTGTATGTGTGTACTTGTAATTTTTGTCACCACCCCTTTCCCCTTTAACCTTTTAACTCGTACAGTTTATTTATTTATATTTTTTTTTTTAGAATTTTAGAACATATGACATTTCAGTTTCCATGGTGACACATTGAGCTGAAAGTGGCACTTGCTGACTGGCCAGGAGAACATATTTCAGTTTGTTTGTTTTTTTCTAATTTGAAGTCTTGAAATGTGCAAACCATAATAAACATTTAATTTTTGTCTACCATTTCATGCAAAATCAGACATGGAAACTCGAGTCACACTAAGAAATGTATTGTGACTTAACTTGGACTCGTGAACAACTGACTTGAAAACAGAGACTAGTTAAGTTTTTTGGTTCAAGATTTATTGAAATTGGTTGAGGTTAGTTTTGAACCAGTTTAGTCTTAACCAAATTTGGTTTGGTTCAGTTTACTCAGTTTCACAAAGACAACATGGATTTCAGAATGAAGCAGAGGATCGCCCTGAAGCCAGAGGGTGCTTCTCAAACAGAAGGCTGCATCCTACCGAGGCAGCATCCTTCCTAGTTCAGTCCTTCAGAGGCTTGTAGGCTAGAGTCCTCCTTGGCATTAAACGATAGAATTAGTCCCTCTAGTTAAGTGTGTGTGGCTACGTCACATATGTTCCCACCCTCACCGTCATGGTACGAAAATACTAAGAAAACGTAGTTTTGGAAAGATTTGTATTACACATTTTTATATTATTTGACTTTCTATTAATGCGATACAATGAATCACAGCCATCTACAGTCTCCCAGCGGCATACATTATCGGCAGTTTAGCTTTTAGTGAGTAATTTACACCAAAACAAAAGATAACATCTATGCTTTCATGTACAAAAACATTATTTTTGTCGTACATTTCATAATAAATTCAGACAAGCTCAGTACTGACTTGTTTTTCGTCAGTTTACTTTCATGAAATGGAATGTGTACAAAGGATTGTGGGTGACTGAAGGTCTCGAAGGATACACAATAATAATAATAAAATGTATTTATATAGCACCTTTCAAACAAAATGCGACTCAAAGTGCTTTACATAATCAAGAATAAATGGTTAAATAAACAACATTACATCCAATAAAACAAATACGTCAAGCTTACAATATGTATACAATATATATAAAACAATACAACATTCAACATAGTGTAAACTACCTGAAGGCCAAGTTAAAAAAAATTAGTTTTCAACTTCCTTTTAAAAATGCTGTGTGTGCTAGCTTCCCTACGAAGGCTGTATCAACAATTTTTTTTCTTATAAAACTAGGAGCCTCAAGTAAACCTGTATTGGAAGATCTTAAAGGGGTCATATGATGCGATTTCAAGTTTTCCTTTCTCTTTGGAGTGTTACAAGGATGGAGTATAATTAACAAGAGAACTGGCAATGTAATTAGGTCCTTGGTCATTACGGTCTTTGTACGCAATAAGGAGGACTTTATAATCTATTCTATATTTTATAGGAAGCCAGTGCAACGTAGCTAAAACTGGTGTTATATGCTCTCTCTTTTTTAGTTCTAGTCAATAGCCGAGCAGCTGAGTTTGGATAAGCTGAAGTCTATTGACTGGACCACAAAAATCAAGCGTAGCGTTAGTTCTGGCAGGTCACGTTAGTCAAGCTCGCATCAGCTGACTCTCAGCTTACATTAGTCATATTAATAGTGTACATAACATTATTGAACTTTAACAATATCTGCAATACATTTATGTTGGTTCTGTTCTGTTTACCCTGGGGGGGGTTATTGCTGCTCTCCCTGCTCTCATCCATGCTAGGCTGCATGGATGCGCTCCCTGCGTTCTTGCCCAGAACAGAACCATCCCGCCAATCCAAACTGTATGCTAATTGTCAATCATCTTAAGTGTCAATTTTTTGAAATTGAGATTTATACATCATCTGAAAGCTGAATAATTAAGCTTTCCATTGATGTATGGTTTGTTAGGACTGGACAATATTTGGCTGAGATACAACTATATCTGAGGGTGCAAAAAAAATCAAAATATTGAGAAAATCGCCTTTAAAGTTGTCCAAATGAAGGTCTTAGCAATGCATATTACTAATCGAAAATTAAGTTTTGATATATTTATGGTAGGAAATTTGCAAAATATCTTCATGGAACATGATCTTTACTTAATATCCTAATGATTTTTGGCATAAAAGAAAAATCGATAATTTTGACCCATACAATGTATTTTTGGCTATTGCTACAAATATACCCCAGCGACTTAAGACTGGTTTTGTGGTCCAGGGGCACAAATATAATCTTGCAGGATATAATACATACATGAGATTAATATACACATACACAGTTATAGTGCATATTTATATTTCATTTTCATGTAGGATTAAACTCCATCTGTAAAGGTGACTCGCAGTACCCAGATGACCCTTTGTTATTAGTTTTTAGTGGTTGTTATTGGGGAATAACTGACATTGGAATGTCGCAACTAGCCAATCAGACACAAGCATTTCAAAGAGCTATGTAATAATCTTGATTACTGACCATGTTATATAACGACAAATTGCTTTTAAAGTATGAATGCACCTAATGATTTGTTGTTCAAATATGGTGATATGTCTGGATGGGGAATTGACTGGGATGGACCAGTTCCTGTGGAGGATCCTGTGCAACCAGACGGTGAGCCATGAGCCTGATGAAGGTGACGACTTGCAGGTTGTTGTCATGTGCTGTACATTTTGTTGAAATGTGAAAATACGAACTTCTTCTGAGATTACTTTGAATGCTTTTGTAATTTACCATTGTAATTGTTTCAGGAATGGAGGGCTTTACAGCAAAAGCAAGATGCAGAATATGCTCTGTCTCTTAGAACTGATCAAGAAAATGTCTTCTTTTTGGGACATTAAATGTAATGATAATAACAACAACTCAATCACTGATAAGTATTTATGACATAATAGCTTTCCATAATGTTGTACTTTTCAGAATCCACTTTTAAGGACAACATAACAATGGTGCTGATGTTGAATTTACACATGGTTAGTCTTAAAGTATATTAACGACACCACATAGACATACCAAACATAAAAACTAGATTTTCACCACAGGGGGTCTTGAACTTTTGCAGATAATTGTTGAAAGAAAAAACCCTGAGGAACCTGCTAATGGCATGCCATTAAAGTTCAATATTCCGGATGACTCCATTAAAATGAGGTTTCAACCATCGGATCTAATGCAGGTAAGAATGGTTTAATATATAAGGTATAATCCATGACATGGAGGCAAAGAACTGCTTATACCATGGTAATTTTCCAGCACTGACAACTTTAAAGCTGTTATTGATGTTAACAGCGCAATAATTGACGTAGACATTTTTTTATTGAACAAAACACAAATTAACAGAGTTAACAAAGTACTAACTTGCAAAGATTAATTGTTCACATCAACACTAGCAATGTGTGCTAATAAAATAAATAATGTCCATTTTGATTTGATGCAGACTTTAACAAACATAAAAAAACAGCATAAGCTAAAGCTATAGATGTGGTAGTTCGACAGGTGCAGAGGTAAGTTAAAGCTATAGGTTCATGAATTGTAATAGTAATTATTATTATTACATTTTTACATTTTCTGGTATTGTGGAAAACATGTAGATGAGTGATAGACATCAATACAATTTAAAACAACAGCAACAAAAATAATACTAATCATAATAATAGTGAAAGTAAAGGCAGTAGCAGTAATAAATAATAATAAATAACAATATCGTAATATCATCTCAGTTTTATAATTTTGGGACAAGTCAGTGAAATGATTGCAGACTAAAATTGACGGTTATTTTCGTCAGTTACAGAACGTTACATCTAGCATTCTACCTGCTTTGAATCAGACACAGATAAAGTAGTGTGTTACATTACATGTATTTGAATGGATTATAGCATTTATTTGAATTATCGAGACTGAGAGATGCATACTTGTGTCTGTTCAGCGTCTAACAACAACAAAGCTGTGCTTTTAGTTTCTTAAAACTAGCAATGTAACCCCTTACTTGCAGAGAAATATAATGTTGCAATTGAGTACCAAAAGTATTTTTTGACTAAAAGCATGAAGTTTCTGTGTATTGATATAGAATGAGT